ACACCCTTAAGTAATTAAATTGCTTTAACCACAGATAGCTGGGCCAGATTCCTTTGCATGATTCCTGCCCCCCACCCAGTCTTCATCACTTGATTTCACTTGATGTCGACCTTGCTGTAAGCTAAAACCACGCAGATAATGTGTCAAACTCTACTTACAGTTTTGATTTTGCTTTATGAAAGAGTTGGTTTTAATCCATTATTTTCTTGTTTGTGCTTAAAGAAATTCAGAAAGGTCATTGCTTTTAGGACTTTGATGTGTTTGGGGGTTTCTTTCACAAAGAAATGGTGGTATTAAAGCCACTCAAGCAAAGGGGCCTTTTTCTGATAAAAATCCAGTTCTTATGATTTCCTTCTTGGTTTTACCACACATTCCCTTTTCCTTTTGAATTTTGCTCTTACAAGGGTAGCTAAATAAATACAGTAGCACAGAAGCAAATGGAAAACATCTGTTGTTCTCATTCAGGAATTTAGTGAGTCAGGTTTTGTGAACATCCAGACTCAGCACTTTTACATATTTGTAGATTTTTCTGCAGTTTAAAATTATTATTGTAAAACTTACACCTAATACTGTTAGAAGTCTTGAGAGCATGCTTTGTAAATGCCAAAGGTGTACAGGAATAAGGTGGTTTTTTTTTGTTTTTGTTTTGCTTAGCCTGGTGTCTATTTCTGCTAGTAGCCAGTATAAGGAAAAGAAAGACCAGTTCTTTTGGAGTTATCCTTCCCTGACGTGCCATCCTGTTTTCCAGCAACCAGAGAGTGCTGAGCTGGAGGTGGATCTTGGGCTGGGAATAGCAGTTTAATGAAGATGGATATTTTGTGATTTAGATTTGACAAGGTTAAAAGATATTTGAAATAGATGGGAGCACAGACTTTTTACAGGAAATGGGTAAGTAGTGTGGCTTAAAAGCTAGGTCATTACAATATAGAAGCTTTCAAAAATATGATGTTCTGATAATGAAGTGAAGTGATTTAACCTAAAATATTAGAAATTACTTTCTCCATAATTCTTGAAGTTTAAAGAGTCTTTTTATGCTAATATGGCCTCTTTTTTGTATCAGCAATGCCATTGTGAAACTTCTCTTGGTGTCTCTCACTCCCTCAGACCATGAGCTTATCTATTTTGTTTCTATAGCTTTCTCCTTCTCTGCATTCAGAGCCCCTTCAAAATTTAATTCTGTACAAATCTGGCGATTGAGACATACCTAAGTATCAGCACACTACCAGAGATGGATGTGATCACTTTCTCAGTTACCTGGTGTTCCCACACTTGTGTCTCCCTTTGCTGAAAACTACTTCAGATGCTCATTAATTCAAGCCTGTTACATCATCTGTAACTTGGCAGCCTTGAAGATAGAAGACTTTTACTCACACCTGTCTTCTTCACCTGTAAATTGCTAAAAGTAGGAATAAATAATTCATCCACCAAAATGTAACTCTTTATAAAGCTTATTTAAATCCTCTTTACTGAAAGCTAAGCAGCTTTTTCCTCCCTAATGCCAACGTGCATTTTCTTGTAGTCACCACGGAGATGAGGCAAAGTCACAAGTACTGCTTCCGTAGTCTGTAGACAAGGAAGAAGATCCTGCAGTACCCGTGTCTTGACCTAGTAAAGTCTACAAAGTGTGAAAATCAAATTACTCCAAAGACTTTTTTTTGGCTCCCGGTGAGGGACATCCAGATTCTGCCAATCTAATTTAGTCCAATACATGCTGGACCCTAAAAACATATAAAATTCGAGGTGGTCTTTACTATATATTCCTCCCAGCTTTAAATTTGAAGGAACTGAAGACTAAAATGAGTGTCATGTGCCAGAAAATATTTTAGGCTAACAAAAAGAAAAAATAAGCACATTAAAACGTGCAGATATTTCAGTCTGAGTTGTTGAAAAAGGCGGTGCAGGCACTATCTGGCAATGGTTTGAAACATGGAAAACTAAGTATACCCAATACACTGTGTGGCTTCCAGCACTGGAATGCTACCAACTCTGATACAGAGAATCCCAACCATTTTCTGTATCTAATTAACTACGTGGGGAGCAGTACCTGTGCAGGCAGGCCCACCCATAAGAAGGATGCCCAAGTCTTCTGTGCTTTTGCTTGTACGTGCTAATTATTGGCTTTGACATGCATGGTATTCATTATGTTTTTGGCAAGAGTATGAAAAAGGCATTTTGTTCTGAAAATAGCTAAAGAAAGAGGTGGGAGGGAGAAAATGTTCTTTTGTAATTGGTCCAGACTGAACTGGGAATCCACCCCCCTCCATCTCCCACTTGTGCAATTTCAGATCCTCTGCCTTTCTAGGTCATTCGAGCAAGGTCAGAACGATTCAAAGGAGCTGTGCACTTTGCAGTTTGAACATCGTATTGGCTTCAGATTTTCTGTTACATATTCAATATCTTGGTTTAGACTCTGCAATGGCTTGTGACAATCCTGTCACCTGAAAAGTCTTACAGTGAGGTTGGCAGCTGTGCTCCAAGAAGCGAGCTTTGTCAGTCTGTGCAGACCTTTTTGTCTATTAATGTATTTTCTCAGACTTCTAGCCTGGTCCTAGTTTAAGATTTATAGATGGTAGAAATGTTTGTGTTCCCTTCAGGACATTAACTCGCCTTTCCAAAAACCTTTATGTATTATTTTCACTCGATTACATAGAAAGCTGGGGCACAAAACCTATAATTAGAAATGGTTTTACTCCACTCTTGGTGTTCACAGATTTACTGAAACTGAAAAGAGAGGCTACAGCACTGCTCACCTACTGGAATGACAACAGCAGCAGATGGTTCCTGATCTCAAAGCTTGACTTGTAGGCAGTTTTGGTTAGGTCCCAAAGTATACACTATTGATGCTGCATAAGTGGTAAGTAATGATGATGAGCTTTCAAGTAAACAGCAAAATTTCCATTTGTCTTTGGAGCTGTCACCACATCATCTGAATGTCTTAACACGTTAATCTCTCAGGTACGCCAGTGTGGAACAACTGGCAGATTCCTAACAGGAATAAGGTGGTGTAGCTCTGTGTATCTATAGAGCATCTGTGATGTTTTAGTCCACCTGAGAATGTATCCCATAATTTTGGTTACCTCTGTGGTCTCTGTATGGTCACCATCCTTAGAGAATGCTGCCATCTACCATGAGCTGAAAAACATATTCACCTCTTGTCTCAGATTCAGGGCTCCATTTTGTTGTTTTTTAAAGAGTTAGTGAGACTGAGAATTCTCCTGAGAATCCTCTCCCCTTACTAATGAGAAAACCAAACTATTCCCCAACCTACCAGGAGAGTTCCTCTAGCAGGAGGACATGGCTGCATCTGACTTTAGATGAGGGGTTTCAGATATCCCACCTGCATCAGGCACGCATCCTTTTGTTCATCCTGCTCCCTGTTGTTGTATTTATTGGCAAAAAGGAAGGACTGCTCTGTAGGAATTTTCCATCCTTCGTGGCCACAATTTTATATTTCTACCTTACATGTATCTGTCTAGGAAAATTAGTGTATTTTTTTTTCTTCTTTCTTCCCCTGACCAAATCTCTTTTTACAAAAAGGAAGAAAAAAACCTCTTGCTTTATCACAAAATTACCCAGAGAATGGATGAACACTGGGTGCAGTTTGGGGCTGTTGCTCTTCAGAAGCAGAGACAGAAGTCAAAAAATGATGAGGAATGACTCCGTTGAATTTCAGTGGCTTTTGCACCTTCCTTTGCCTTCCTAGCTGCTGGACTGTTCTGGGGATGGGATTGTCCTCTGGCGTAAGCAAAACAAGCTTGGCCATACCTGATGTAATAAAGCACCTGCTAAAGGGAGTATAAAGTTGTTTAGCATTTCTGCGTCAGCTTCTTCTTCTGCCACCATTTTCTATATGCCAGCAGTTATGAACACATGCCTTGAAGGGCAGTATCAGGGTAATCTGTCAGTTTTGTACCACCACATCTTCCTGAGGAAGCGAAGAGCTGTAGGACTGCCTCGTGCCACATTAGTCCCTTACATGATGCCAGTGCAGGGAGGAAGGTCTCACCCTCTTCTTCATGCCTGTAAGATGCTGACAATATCCAGCTGATCAGCGACACCTTTGGATTCACTCGTTAGATGCAGGACTTGGACTCAGTATTTTCCATCTCGCACCCCAAAATTCTGTACGAAGACCAGTGGTTGCTTCCATCTCATTGTGTACGTGCAGATGGAGACAGGGGCTGTGAGGCATCCAGGAAAACAAAGGGAATGGTGACAAAACCAGGGCTAGAAACAGTGTTTCCTGACTCCCAGGCTAATTTCTGGAGCAGTGGTTTTGTTTTCTCCCATTCCAGAACTGTCTTACAAAATTGTACCTCCTATGCCATCCTCTTAATATACTAAGCAAAAGTTTAATTGAGTCCTTTAAATGATTTTCCAAGCTCAAGCAGGTCTTCCCTGTGGGCAGGGAAACTTCAAAGGGGCAGGACGAGTGTTGTCGCTGTACCCATGCTTATCAACGTGTCAGGTTGGACCAGGAACATTCTGTAAAAGTTATTCCTCATTACGACAAATCCTCTAGTTAGATTACAGCACTGACAAATTCTTACCAGACTTTTACTGCCAGGTTCACTAGGAGCACATCTGGAAGCAGTAGAGGTTGCTGCGTCTGGCATATCGTGTTCCTGTTCCCTTTAGGGCCGGCTGGTCATCCTGGGGGGAAATCCTAGCTGCAATCCCATGTCCTTCCCCACCAGCAGTGCAAACGTATCGCCCAGGCTCCTTGTCCTCTGCCTGACAGACTCGGTTTAGGTCCATAAGCTGAATTAGGGATGTGTAGCACTGATCTGTGTGTTAGCTAACAGATCTGCTTAAGGGGTGCCTGTGTTAATGTGCACGTGTGTGTCCAGAGAGGTGAGGGGAAGGAGAACCGTGCCCCAAAGTCCCAGGTCCCTGTGCACCAGAGGAAAAGGAGCCTGACAGGACCCTGAGGCATCCCTCAGTGCCTCCCCCTGACCCAGGGCAGGATCGGTGCTACCTAAACCACTCCTGCCAGATGTTTGTCTAGTCCCTAAAAACTGCCAGTGAGAGAGCTTCCAAAACTCCCCTGGAGAATCAAGTGCTTGACTCCTCTTACTACACAAGCTTCTCCTAGTATCCAGTATCTTAAATCTTCCTGCAACTTAACCCTAGCCTCAGTGCACATAGAAATGTTTTTTTTTTCTGTTAGCTAGAGGGCGGCTGAGAAGAGTATTTGAAAAATGCTGCCCTGTCACTTCCTTTCTCGTCTGCCCCAGACTAAACAAATCAAGGTCTCTTACGCTTTCTTCATACATCACGCTTGCTAGCTCTGTGGTGATTTGGGGTGCTTTGCTTTGGACTGTCTCCAGCTTTTCCACGTGCTTCTTCACAGTGGTCAAGGCCGGGAGCAGCACCGCAGCGGAGCCGTGTCCCTGCGGAGCAGAGGATAAGGTGATCTCGTGTGGCTTCTGCGTGATGCTCCTGCCTGTAACTCCCAGCGCCAGGCATGCTTTTCCTGCAGTCGTGTGGTGCTGTTCCTAAGCCTGGCCTGCTCCTGCAACTCCCGTTTCTAAAGACAGGCGCTGTGCTTGCCTTCTGCTGGCCTTGTAAAACTTCAGCCGTCGTCTGTGCCGCCTCAAGGAAAGCCTCTAATGGGTCTGTGATTAGTTCGCTGGCTTCTCGAAATTCTCTCAGGTGCAATTCATCTGGCCCAGCTGACACGAAAACATCTTAACTTATCTAGTCTGTTTTTCCTCTAGTCTGTCTGTGACCATTTTAACCATCTGATTATGTTATCTTTCCTAGTGAAGGCTACGGCAAAAGGGCATCGCCCCCATTAAGTGGTACCTGTGGATAGACTTCCTTGCACTGAGCAGTATCTCTGATTTTCATTGTTATCTCCGTGCAGTTCCTTCCTTCCTTTCCTCTTTTCGCTTCTTCCTTCCTTCAAATGTTCTTCTGCTCTACCTCTCGGGGGACATCAAACCACCTTTGTGCATTTGGATTTTGCCCCGTGTGCTTGTATTTCATCTCCAGTAGTCAGAGCTGATTTGTGCTCCCCATGGCTTCTTGTCTCTGAAGCCAGTGAAGGCCTCGTGATTTAGCCATTGGCTCTCTTTCTCTTCTGTTTTTTCTACTTTATAGGGCAATTTATGCTTGTGTCTTCCAGAAATTCCAGAAAATAAGCTGTTTGATTTGTAGTCTTGTTATGCATGAAAAGATTATCCTGCATGGCCTTGTTTGCAAGGGAGGTGGGTACTAGTCTGATTGTTAGCACTGCTGATAAATGGATGCTGAGAGGGAGTGGTTGTGCCTGGCATTCTCTCTGATGTTTTATCTTTTGTACTGCCCATTCTCCAAATCATTAATGCCTCGCTTGCGTTTGCACTAGATGTGAGGCTAAGGTGCCAAACATGCACAGAAACATGAAGGCCTGCGCATAGCTACAGGCTGTGGATGAGCACCGGGGTGTGCCAGCAGAGGAAGCTGGGTCTGTATTTCCCTTGGGTACAATGTAGTGGCATCTTGTGGACAAGCTTCAATTGCCCAAGGTTTGTTGTTTTTTTTTTTATAGAATAAAGTGGAAACCCAGAAACAAAATCACCTGGAGGTGGCTTGAGGTGGACCTTACCTGTATGACCCGGGGCTGAGCTCAGAGGGATCACAGAGGCAGCAGTAGAGGTGCACAGGGTGCAGGTAGCCCTGTGCATTGCCTGCAAGAGCTCACCCTACCAGAGCAGACACCAGCACCTCCATGCCACCTTTCTCAAAAGCATTTCTGGATACCCAGGCTTCTTTTTATATCAGTGGATCAAAGACCTATCACTCTGCCGTTGCATTACATCACAGGTCTTGTAATATTTGTGCTTTTGTGTCCTGCAGTGCCATAATTGCCAACTCTTTGAGGTGTGGATGGTTTGCTCTTGGATACACGGAGCTGTACTGTACAGATACAGCAATGATAATGTTGCTTCTCCATCCATGAAGAAAAATTTCACAATTTTTGTTTCAAGTTTGTCTCTGCATAATGAACTTCTCTGAACTAAAAGTAAAATAGCCAGTCCCCACTGTGCCTTTGCCATGTAAGCACTGGGATACTCACTGCCTGCAACAACCTCTTCTTTCCTTCACCACAAAGTAAGAATCAGCAGGGAAAACTTTCAAAACTGCTCTGGCATACATCTTCCAGAGATGCAAAAAAGCTGGAAGTTTCTTTCTTCTTTGCTGCGTCCAGACACAGCAGCAATTTTCTGACCATGAAAAGGGTGTGTTCTGGTACCTACCCAAATTTAGAAGGAATGGCACTTCTGCCAGTTGAGCCTGTAAGCTTTCAGACATCTGAGCACCAGAAGAAACTGCAGCTGAGAGCAAATGCTGCAAAACGATGCTGAAAATGCTCTCTGAGTTCAGTGAAAGTGCTTGTTCCTGTTGGGAAAATTCTGAAATGAATTAGCAAAAAGTCACAATGAAAGGGAAGAGCTTTTGCATGCATATCTGAAGCGATGATGGCATGCAAGAGACAAAAAAAGGACAGTTTAATCACCGCCTGCTAACCTGAAAAAAAAAAAAGAAATTGCATCATGGCTAACATGTGGTATGTCATTTTGGTGGCTTTTTTTTCGTTTTCTCTGCTTTGAAGAGAACTTTGGGGGAAAGGAGCAAATATGTGACAAGCAGCATATGCAAACTGTAAGGTGGAAGTGGTAAATGAATAAGACCACATTTGGAAGAGGCAGATGGTGCTTTTCTTGATCATATGGTAGCACTGGCAACAGAAATGTTTTGGAGTTAGGGAAGCGGGGAGGCCAGACGCAGTTCCTAAATGCACGATGATTTATTTGTAGAACATGCAGAAATGCAGGGAACAAAAACATTCAACAGCCCTTGGAGACGTGCATGAACATGATACATTTACATGTGGTTTACACTGAACTCCTGGCAGCTCACATGGGATCTTTGATTAGGAAGTCTTGGTTTGGCTGATGACATCTCCCAGCATCTCTTGTCGCTGTTGCCAGTTTTTCCTTCTCTGGTACCTGTTCAGCTCTTGGTGTGATCTCGTGTCAGCCAAAATTGTGCATTCAAAGCCTTTATCTGTGCTCATGGTATTTGTATGCTGGTTGTTTGCAGATTAACCTTCAGTCCGCTAGACATTTATTCTTGATTAACAGGTGCAGCCATATGCCTGAATGGCCAAAAGCCTGGATGTTGGGCTGGCTTATCTTCATGCTGGAAGGAGGAATAGTGCAGTCCAGGCATAGAAAATGGATAAAATCTCATCGTGTGCTCAGGAGGAATATATAATGAAAAGTATGATTTATAAAAATTATCTGCTGGAGGAAACAACTTTCTGCAATTTCGTATTTTTATAATTACTTAAGCAGCAATTCATGTCTGTTACTACTGATAATACATAATCACAAGGTCTTTTTGAAGAGCAGTGCAGCAAGAGAATAATTAAACCTAATTACCATTTGTTTGATTGCTATGTTGTTCTAGGAAACTTTGTTTTTCTGCTTTTTATTGTAGCATAAACAGTAAATCTTAAATCCTTTTAACTGCTGAGTGTCTGAGTATACAAAACTAAATTTTTGTAGCAGCACATGAAAGGTATACGCTGCACAAAATCCTTTCCAGAATATGGGAAACAAATGCTTAGAGTTTAACAGGAAAAAAAAAAAAAAAAAAAAGGCAAAACATTTATGTGAATATAGAAGATACTTTGAAAAAATCACTTGTATTTTTTTGTCCTGCAAAGATGATAAAAGTACTGCCATTTCACAGCCTCCTGGAAGGAGACAAAGCAGACCTCCTCAGCTGACAGGGTAAGAATAATTCTGCTACAGCTACAGTAAGAAGTGCAGGATCCATAAGCCTGACAGACTCAGGGCTGTGAAGAAAATCTGTTTGAAAATAGACAAGTTCTGTGCACAGTTATCTTAAAATGTAACAGAAGATTGAATATTCGGGGGTTTTGACTTTCACAGCATGGAAGAATTAGCCCTTGCTATTGTTCTGTCCCTGATGGAGAGCACGTTTGTTTGTTCTAAGTACAAATCAAGGGGAGGCCTGAGAAGAGACTTATGAAGACAAAACGCTTTTGAAAACTTCCTCAGTTCACAGCTTTGCAGAAGATGAGATGCTGAGGACACGCTCCTCCACAGACCACGGTTATATTGTCGTAGACCTCAGAGGTACACCTCGGGTTACCTCGACCTGTCCCAGCAGCAACCCCGATGGAGCAGGCAGTGTCCCCGCTCCTCGCCTCTCTTTGTCACCCTCTGCAGACCCCATGGGTGCTGTGGTGATGCCTGACCCCTTCCCCAGGCACTGCAGCGTGTCTCAGGCCTCAGCCCTGCTCTGCGAGCCGTTCACCATCGTGTTGGCTCGCCCTTGCTCTTTGACAGCACAAAACACATTTCCCTCTTTCCTAGATTTCCTGCGGCTGGCAAGCCTTTTGGTGCCTTTTGCAGCCCCAGCTTGAACTGATTTTATATTCAGCGCTGATTTGGCAGCAGCGTTGGCTTGGATGGGGCTGTGTGTAATGATCCTTCCAGGGCTGTGCTGGACGAATGCTGAAAAGCTAATCCGTTTACCTGGACTGGAAATACAGTTTCATTGAGACCTACTCCATATTACTTGTAGAGCAGCAAGTTAGAAAGTTGTGTTTAAATGGTAGAAAATGTGCTTAAAAGTCTCTGCGTGTCATGGGCTTAATTCAAAGAGAGGTGTGGGATTTTGATCACATTGGGAAACCATGCGAGAGCTGGCTGGTCAGGGATGGGGAGGATCAAGAGAAGAACCCAGGCACATACCTGAGGCTATGGCAGGTACAAGTTTGGTGGGACCAGGATTGCGGGTGGTAATGAAATATACCTTCCCCTCTCCTTATTCAAGTAGTGGAGAGCATTTCAAAGAAGCATTTTTCTTCATCAAACTGAAAATTACAATTGTGGTCCTCTTTCTTCTTCATTTCTTCATTTTAATTTCTTTTCCTTCTCCCTAATCAACCAATTAGCTTTATTAAATGCATCTTCTCATCACTGCTATGTGAGTGCTTAGCCACCTTTGCATTGTTCATCCTCAAAGTCAAATATTTCGGGTCCTCCAGCAGGCCCACCTGGCAGTATGGTGCCATGCTGCCATCAACTCGGGTACTTGAGGTTCTTTGTGTTGGAGACTTTTCAGGAGATGTTACTTAGCCATTAATGCCAACAGCTGAAAACAGAGAGATTTCAATTGACTAAGTAGTACAGAATCAGTCGTAGTTTGCAGATGATTGACCTAAAAGATACCTTCAAATAGGTCCTTTGAGCTCGCAAGTTTATTTTTGTTTCTGTGCAGCTGGTGTGCATGTGTTTCTGTAAGACCACATGTTAAACTTCTCATGAAACATTAGAAAATGCACTGTACATCTTACGTAGTTGTTTACCAAGTCTTAGTATCTTTATTCCTCCAGAAATGAAAAAGTACTTTTTTTACCTAATTTCTCATAATAGGTTCTCCTGTATTTATTTATTTATTTAAATGAAAGGCAGTTAAGTAACCTCAAAGAAGACTTCATATTTAATAAACTACAATTTATATCCTTTAAAAGTTCAGAACAATAAGGTTGTGTGTTGTGGAGTTTGTTTTGTTTTGTTTTTTTCCAGAAGGCCTGGGAGCAGTAATTAAAATCCTGAATCCACTAAAGCTGATGGCAAATTTCTCTGAGCTCAGTGGAACCAAAATTTCTTTCTTTATTCCTGGCCTGTATTTCATGCCAGTCATCATCCTTGATGGACTGCAGGAAGCTGGAAAAGCATTAATAGTGAACACTTTGGTGGCCACCATGCTACAGAAGCAGTCTTATTGTAGGTCATGAAGACTGACAGCCTAAAAGAAATTGTAAAAATTGATGAACCAAAGATGTAAACAGTTACTAGCAAAGACGCTTTGCACAGGCTTAAGCAGCTCAGACATAACTACCCGAGTATTTCCTCCTAGTGCAGCCATTACTTTTACCGAAAGTGCCTTCAACTAAGCTTTGTCTGAAGCTGTTATATGGTGAAATTGGTCAATGCAGCTTCTGCTGTATGAGTAAGGAAATCTTTCCGTGTGTTTCACGATGTTTGAGATGAGGTTTGAACTACTTCTGAAGCTGTCTGTTTGCAACTTCTCATGATAGATTAGCCAGTCAGTTTTGGTGTCTCAGAGACAAGAGCTCAGAGTCATGCAGTTATTTTCCAGAAGAATTTATTTCTTTAAAAGTGGAACGACGTAGGTAGGTAATGCTGTGTTAAACACTGTGAGCTGCTCCAAGTCTCCATATTCCACCATACGAGCTTCTGTGCCCTTGAGCTAAGCTAACTGGTTAGTCGCCTGATGGTCTCAGAAGACCAAAAAATAACAATAATAATGAATAATTACGAAGAAAAGTCAAGTGCTGCATGGTGTTTAAGGTGAGCCTCTTCATTTTGCAAGTTCGGTAAAGGTTGTGCCCCTTCCCTAATGACACTCATTCAAACTACATCCCTGGTAATGTCAGTCAAATCCTCTGATGAGTTTATAAATTAAAATGTGCATTGAAGTTTCTTGTAGTTAAACATAAGCTAAATCTTGCAGAAAGGAGTTTTTGGAGAAATCAGGGTTGGAATAATTCACATCAAGAGTTGTCTTTAATTAAGCAGCTTGGTTGCTGTTGCTCTGATGTGTTGCACACCAGCTCAGCCATCGGTGCTTGAAAGGCTCCCCACAGCATTGTTGGCTTTTGCTTCACTGCTCGTTAAGGCAATGTTTCTGGGGGAATCAGGGGCTCCTAAAGCCCCAAGACATCATGACAAGGGGACTCTCTGTCTTCCCTCTCAGTAAATGCCAATCTTGCACAGCTATTGCCGTCAACTTCCAATTGACGTACGAGGAGCCAGATTTGCTCTTTGATCTTAAATGTTTTGCACAGCTCCAGAGGTCCCCTGACTAACTATCAGCTTTTCTTAGTTGGGGAACATACACCATCTGCTTTGATATAGCAGTGAATATGCACATAAAAATAATGTCAAAGTGTGTATGTTTATAAGGCTGTTATTGCATATCTTCAAACCACAGAAATACTGTATATGACATTATTAATAATGCATTAACATAGAAATGTTTACAGAATATTAATAGTGAAAGACAAGGATAAAATAATTGCAGGGATTATGCAGTTATCTTCAAATCAAGCATGGTAAATGATAATAAACCTTAAATTCAGAGTTATACTCACTCTTGGAAGTAATCTGAGCATGTAAACAGAAGCAGTCTTAACTCCCTTTGGTAACGGCATGAAATGAAATTGGGGGGAAAAAAGAATCCTTAAAAATAGGTTTAAAGTCAACTTGGGTTTGCAAATGCTGTAAGTGCAATCAAAAGTGTAGCATGGAATAAGAGTAGTGCTGAGTTACAGTTGTTTGAATGCTTAACTATGCAAGCAGTATCTCATACATCTGGATTTCTTTTAAGTATAACCTTAACTCTGATTTGCTTCTACTTTCAATCTGTTTTCTTTTGGCAAGTTTCTAACATGCCGATAAACGAATAAAGAAATGTCAAGATCACAGACAGGGAGACGTTGAGTACAAAGTTAGGGACGGAGGGAAAGTCATTGCTGTGTCTTTTTATAATTTCTGAGAGAAATCTTACAGGTGTGTGCACAAATTTGGAGAAAGTATTGAGCTCTCAGAAGCTTCTGCAGTTCTTTGCATCCCAAGGCAACCATTTATGACCCAACTAATACAATCAAATAGACAAAAATGAAGCAGGATATACTACCATTTTCCCACTATTTCATTGTGTTTTTTGTTTTTGTTTTTGTTTGTTACTTTTAAATTTCACAGACTTCTTTAATGTTTGAAGAATATGCGTAGAAAATCTGCAAGAACAGAGTAGATTTTGGTCAGTGTAACTTGTGCACAATGTTTTCATAAAGGAGACTATTTTCAGATTTTAGCCTGTGGGTTTCTTTTACAGAAGAGATTGCATTTCTAGAAAATCCTTTCTGTGAAAACTGCAAAAAAAAAACTGTTCAGTGCAATCAAAAAAAATCATTTTGGGGAAAAAAAAAAAAAAGAGAGAGAGAGAAAAAGAAACAAAACCCCAAACAGAATCTGTTTCTGATCATGTTCATGAAATGTAAGGTCTGATTGCAACAGTTCTTGACCCAGACACAAACAAACAGTGCTTCTCACTTTAATTCAATTTTGGGCTATGGCTGGAGCACCACCTCCACCAGGGAATATAGCTCCCCCCTTGCTACAAACATGCAAAGTAAAACAGCATGGCTGCAGAACCACCTACGGCATGGACCGTACTGCATCTTAAACAGCCTTTGTCCTTACCACCTTCGATATGCCCTAGACAAGGCCAGTAGGTCGTGTGGTGGACCCTGAAATCCACAGGTTTCTATCCACTGCAGTTTGTTGCGTGCTGTACACTTACTAAATAGCCCGCAGTGTAAGGGTTAGTTTGTAGCCTGCGTTTTCCCTTTCAGGGAATACCTAAGAAGGAAATGAGGGTGTTTGTAGTCCATCCTGGTGGCCAGGAGATGCCTGGCAGCCCCTCCTGCATGGGGTTTCACCTCTGCAGGAGGCTGCCACACGTGTCCTGTCCCCTGTGGGGCATGTGCCTTCCTCCCCGCAGGCTCCCACTGTGCCTGCTGAAGGCTGATAAGTGA